TGCCGGTGCCGGGGCCTCCCCGAAGGCTCCCGGGAGATGCGGCGGCCCTGAAGCGCCCAGAGCTCCGCCATGGACGGCGCCGAGCCCGCGGCGGACGCGGCACCGGCGGCCGCCGGGGCCTCACCGGGGGACGGGCGCGGGAGGAGCGGCGGCAAACGGGTCACGTTCCCCTCGGACGAGGACATCGTGTCCGGGGCTGTGGAGCCCAAGGACCCCTGGAGACACGGTGAGGGGCGGGGGACCGGGCACCGGGAGGGACCGGGACACCGGGAGGGAACCGGGAGGGAACCGGGGGAGAACCGGGAGGGAACCGGGACACCGGGAGGGAAACGGGGGAAACCGGGAGGGGGAACCGGGAGGGAACCGGGAGAGAACCGGGAGAGAACCGGGAGAGAACTGGGAGAGAACCGGGAGAGAACTGGGAGGGAACCGGGACACCGGGAGGGAACCGGGAGGGGACTGGGAGGGGACACCGGGAGGGGACCGGGGGAGAACCGGGACACCGGGAGAGAACCAGGACACCGGGAGGGAACCGGGATACCGGGAGGGGGAACCGGGAGAGAACCGGGACACCGGGAGGGAACCGGGATACCGGGAGGGGGAACCGGGAGAGAACCGGGAGGAAACCGGGAGGGGACACCGAGAGAGAACCAGGACACCGGGAGGGAAACGGGATACCGGGAGGGGGAACCGGGAGGGGACCGGGAGGGGACCGAGAGAGAACCGGGACACCGGGAGGGAAGCGGGAGGGGACACCGGGGGCACGGGGAGAGGCGGCGGAAGGAGGGAGGGAAGGAGGGGGAGCACCGGGAGAGAACCGGGGAAGAGCCCCGGAACGGCCCCAAAAACCTGGAAAGAGCCGGAAATGGTCCCGAATAATCCCAAAAAAATGGCCTGAAAATGGTCCCGAATAATCCCAAAAAATCCCGAATTATCCCAAAAAATGGCCTGAAAATGGTCCCGAATAATCCCAAAAAATGGCCTGAAAATGGTCCCGAATAATCCCAAAAAATGGCCTG